CACAACAGTGAGAGGCCCGCGTACCGCCAAAAAAAAAAAAAGAGTAGCTCCCACTCGCCACAACTAGAGAAAGCCTGCACGCAGCAACGAAGACCCAACACAGCCAAAAATAAATAAAAATAAAATTAATTAATTAAATTTAAAAAATACCATTATAAAGGCACTTGTTTTTGTTGAACTAAGAAGGCTTTTTCTCAAGAGAAAGGGGTTTCTTTGGTGCAATCACCACCAGATCCATCATTAAGTGTCTTACACATTCTTGTCACTTTTATTAATTAGCCTCTATGTCGACAAACAGAAACATAAAGCTACCTAGAATGCAAAAGCTTTCTCATTTGCCTAAGGTGTCTGCCTCTATCTTCAACAAATCCTCGAGGACCGCTCACTGTGAAAACTCCCTTCAGTGGCAGAACTGTCAGCAAAGAGCCATATGCTTTAGAACTGGAGGGGGGACTGAGATCCTTTTAAAGAAAAGTTAAGCATCCTGAAAAGGCCACTAGCCTGAATGTAATGCTTGCATGTGGGTCAAGAGAAGGCTAGTTGACAAAGTCAAGATCTTCAAAAGATACCAAAAGAGTATGGGTTAGGCACTGTAGTAGAAATTTTTTATTAAAAAAAAAATTAGTACACAGCCAACCACCCAGAGAACATTTTTACTTCCTAGTGTATGCTCAAAGATAAAATGGTTGCAGGAGGTTCATCTAACAGCTGATTTGAATGAGCAAAGTGCATCAACATTAGAGGTGACTTCCAAAATTCATGATCTCCGTGCTATATCAGTACATCTATAGGCTTGTTTTTCTGTAGGACACCAGAGACAATTGGTATTTAGAGTCCTCCTAATTCACGGAAATAAAACAATATTACCTGCACCTAGGAAATTTCTCTTTCCATCTTCTCTTGGACCACTTTCAAGTACATATCTCATTTAATTCTCTATCATTTTCCTCAATCCATGATGGCATTCACAAGGAATACCATGTATTATCATACAATGAATCATCCTCTCTGGTTATTATCTTACGTGCCACTCCTGGAACATTCAATTCTTTTTAGGCATTACAGTAGGCCCTCTGTATCTGAGGGCTCGACATCCACGGATTCAACCAACTACAAATCAAAAATATTCTAGGGAAAAAAAATTCCAGAAAGTTCCCCAAGGCAAACCTTGAACCTGCCATGTGCCAGCAGCTATTTACACAGCATTTACAATGTATCAGGTATTATAAATAATTTAGAGATAATTTAAAGTGTATGAGTGGATATGTGTGGGTTATATGTAAATGCTATACCATTTTATAAAAGGAACTTGAGTATCAGTGGGGTTTGATATTTGCAGGGAGTCCTGGAACCAGTCCTCCTCAGACACCAGGGACGACTGCATGTCTTAAATTTGGGATAGACTCCTTTTTTCTATACGTGTGTGTGTGTGTGCGTGTGTGTGTATCCCAACACCACTCTATCTGAACCCCGCCCTCATGAGCCATTTGAAAAGTCAAAGATCTTAACATAAAAATTTAAAAAAAGGAGTAGTGGGCTTCCCTGGTGGCACAGTGGTTGAGAGTCCGCCTGCCGATGCAGGGGACACGGGTTCGTGCCCCGGTCCGGGAAGATCCCACATGCCTTGGAGCGGCTAGGCCCGTGAGCCATGGCCGCTAAGCCTGCGCGTCCGGAGCTTGTGCTCTGTAGCAGGAGAGGCCACAACAGTGAGAGACCCGCGTATCGCAAAAAATAAAAATAAAAATAAATAAAAATAAAAATAAAAATAAATAAAAATAAAAATAAAAAAAGGAGCACTGACCCTATGCAAAATGTACACACTGACTTTTTTAAAACCTTTCCCTTTTAACTTTTTATACAATTTCAAGAAGTAATATTTTAGCTATCTTTGTGACAATGTTACTGATTTTCACTTTACTGCCTGGTAACTAATAATTTTAATCAACTCTTTGATTTCCTATGATGCTAAATTCTAAACCAAGCACCTACGGTGTGCCAGGAATTATACTAGTGGCATAAAGATAAATAAGCAGGGGTCACTGGCCCAGGGACTCACAGTCTAATGAAGAAGGCACAAGTAAATAACAACCAAGTAAAAGTTAATGTTTTTGGTACTATAATATGTATATAGTTCAAGTATAATGCAAAATCAGGTCATTTCCAGGTCCCAGGAGATGGTCATCTCTACCCCTCCCTCTAAGTCATCCAAACCAACCGCATCATCTTACCTCCTAAACCCGCTTCTTCCTCACATGATCCCTCAACTGTTACACGGCCCCACAGTCCTAGCAATCAACATGGCTGGAACTTTCCAAGTCATCAGTTAAGTCCTCTTCTGTGCAGGGCTCACAGAGCCATACAAACAGTATGCCAAGCTTACCATGCCTCAGTGATACCTTTTTTAAGACTCCTCATTCTGTCTTACTTTCATCCTTTTAACTCTTACCTAGACAAACGTATAATCTCCTATCCAGTTTCCTGCTTCTTGGCTCACCCACTTTATACCGTGCTGGCAGACTACTCTGCAGAAAGCAAGATCTTTCTAAAGAACAACATCTGAATCATCTGCAACCTTGTCCCAACCTTTCCAACTTGGGTTCCAGCTGCCAGTCTCTTTCGCACACTCTGTGGTCCTAATCAACTATATTTACATAATGGTATCCCAAATACCCCAACTCTGTATCTTTCTCGGACAGTTCTTATTAAAAATCCACAGTTTCCTATCTCCCCAAGTACCCATCCCAGCCATATTTTAAGATCCAAATTTAATGAAGCCTTTTCTGAGAAGCTTTACCCTGCTTCTCTCATCTAAAAAAAAATTGCTTTCTCTTTTGAATTCCCCCAGCAATTTATTTGTGCCTCTATTTCTTAAACTAATGTTATCTTCCCCGATAGAATGGATTTTTAAAAGCAGGAGCTCTGTCCCCTCAAAGCCAACATTTGTATGTACTTAGTAATCAGTAAATCCTTTCTGAATATATTAATGCCTGTTAGTTTTACTTTTCAGTCAAACACAGAGTCAAGCAGCAGTATCTTAACAAGCTGGACCACTCACCTGATTTCCGCAGGGAACTGTGCATTTGTGACCAGGAAACTGGAGATTTTATGCTCGTGGAGTAGCTTCAAAAACCTGTTGATTTCTGGGTACATGATGGGTTCTCCCACAAGGGATAATGCACAGTGCTTTACTGTCATTCCTTCCTCAAAGCGTTCCTCTCTGACACCTGGCACTCCTGGAGAACATGGTGGAAAGGAACAAGCTCAATAAGGCACAGAGAGAGGACATCACTTTTATTTTTCTTAATTAAAATTTTAAAAATTTTTCTTAATTGTTCTTTGATTTTAGAGGGCAAGATTACTTTTGATACCAGCCAAATAATACAAAACAAGAGCCTGGGGGCGGGGGGCAACCCTAACGTTATTAAACCAGAAAAACTAGAATTATTATATCAGCAATCTCATCCTTCCTTTTAGTACTAATTAAACTACATCAATACAAGCAGGCAAAACTAACTTTGTTATTAGCTAATTATTTGGAACACAGAATGTATTACTTTCCATAATTTGCTTAGCTCTGCATTCTTTCATGTTGATGTAAGACAGTGAACTCAGTAAAGCTGCATAAGGAAAGCCTCTCCTATACCAATCATTGCCGCCTTCATTCCTCAGGTATTTTGAGTTGAGAAACTAAACGCAGTCGGTCCAAAAGAACAGAGAAGAGAAAAAGAAGCCTGCAGTTCTCACCTTTGGCTTCATATTGGAATCACCTGGAGAGTATGGTAAACTACGGCAGCCTAGGTCCACTGCCAAAGATTCTGATTAACTGGAGTGGATGCAAGCCAGAGTAACGGGAGCTTTCAAAGTTCCTCAGGTGATTCGAATGTGCAGCCAAAGTGAAAAACCACTGCATAAACCAGAAGCCTCCAAACTTATATGCTAACTAGAATCACCTTGGAACTGTCAACGTTCCAAATTCCACGCCACAGAACAGACCAATGAAATCACCATCTCTGGTGGAGGAGCAGAGGCATCAGGAGCTTTTGAAGTTCCCCAGGTGATCCCAATATGCAGACAAGTTTGGGGAACCACTGCCACATACCACTGGTTCTGGACCCTAGTTAGACATTGAGAAATAACCCAAAGAACTTTAAAAAATCCCAGTGTCCAGGCAGTATCCCAAGCCAATCAAATCACAATCTCTAGGGATGAGAGCCTGAGACATCTGTATTTTTTAAATGCTCCCCATGTGATTAGAGTGGACAGGATGGGTTAAGCAGCACTACTCTAGACTCGGTGTACTGTAGGAAAGCATGCATGAAAAAAACAATAGAAAGAATGCTTGAAAGTCCCTCAATCTAACACAGAGTTTGAAAGACTTGGAAATTGCTTAAAAAGGCAAATAAAAACATATCTCCTTTACTTCAGATATTTCTATCCATTACGCTAGTTTCTTTTTGAAGAACACATTCTCTCTAAAGGATACAGATTCCTCACTGAGATTGGAGGTAGGAGGAAACACGTTCATATTCCCTCTCAGTCATTTATGAGCCGTCTCTGAAAAGTAGTTTTCTTGACTGTAAGCAGTACTTAGCCCAAAGAATGTTTCTTAGAATTAAATGAGATAATGCATGGAAAAGCTTTAGAAGAGGGCCTAGCACACACACAAAAACATTCATTAAGGATTTTTTCTTCTCATCACCTTTATCCTGGTTTCTTAAAATGATTAAATCCCAGTCACTATCACCTTAAAGAACAACAACAACAAATCTGGAGAAAATAAAGTTAGCTTTCACTGCTTGCTTGTGCTTTAGTTTCCAGGAAGTGACTTTATTTTACACACACACACAGGCACACACACACAATCTACTTGGAAATAAACAAGGGCAAGTAAGTACCCAAGACATCAAACCAACATAATGCTGCTAAAATCAGAACAATCTAAAAGTGGCAGCTTTTATCTTCTTTTATGACTACCTAACTGCAATTCTAAGAATGTATTTCATGTCAGTATTTGGGGGATGAATAATTTTTTAAGTTATTGAAATCTAATATCTTAAGTGAATCAAGGTTTTAAATAAAACTTGATCCATAACGCAGTCTGTGTTACCAAGACAACTCAGCATTAAGTATAAAATTTCCTTTTTGTTAAAGAAAAGAAAATCAGTAACTTTAATCTCGCTGGGAGAAGATGAGTAGAGGGCAGATTTAATCAGAACTGCAAAATTAACCTAAAACTCTGAAAGCAGAATGACTGAACACTGGCTGGGCCCTAACCACTGGAAGTCAGACACACCAGGTCCAAATTCTTGCTCTACCACTAGGCTGGTCTGTGTCCTGGGTCAAGCCACTCACCCCCTCTACACCCATTCCCTAATCTATAAGATAGGGAGTTCACATGCACACAGTTATGAATTCAACGAAATAAGCCACATGAAATAACAGGTCTGGTACCAGGCCCAGCACATAAGCATTCAAAAATATCTTATTTTTATTATAGTAATTACTTCATGAATTGAAATAGAAATTCAATTATTTCCATTATTTTAAATAAAATGGTCATTCAATTCAACATACAGTTGACCCTTGAACAACAAGGGCTAGAACTGTGCAGGCCCACATATACGTGGATTTTTATATATGTGTGTGTGTGTGTCTGTGTGTATACACACACAGACACACACACACACACACACTGGAAAATTTTTTGGAGATTTGTGACAATTTGAAAAAACTAGCAGATGCCCCCCACAGCACAGAAATATCCAGAAAATTTAAGAAAAACTTAGGTATATCACAAATGCATAAAATATATGTAGATACTTGTCTATTTTATCATTCACTACCATAAAATACACATAAATTTTTTTTTTTTGGCCAGCCACGCAGCATGCAGGATCTTCCCCGACCAGGGATGGGACCTTGGGAGCTCAGAGTCTTAACCACTGGACCGCCAGGGAAGTCTCAAATACACATAAATTTTTAAAAAGTTAAAATGTATCAAAACGTACTCACAAAAACACTTAAGGACCACACACAGGCACCATTCCCAGTCCAGAGAAATGTAAACAAATGTAAAGTTGCAGTATTAAATCATAACTGCACAAAATTAACCGTAGTACCGATTGTACCTCGGTAACAATTTCCTAGGACCTCCTGTTGCTACTGCACTGAGCAGCAAGTGTTGCAAGTATCTGCTTGAAACGCCACGCCACGTGAGGCTCATCATCTCCACGTGAGCAGTTCATCTCTCCAGTCAATTGCAAATTGCAGTCAAAGGCAATCTCTCGCAGTTCTCTCGTAGTTTTCATCATGTTTGTGCAATACCATGAACCTTGAAGTAACACCACGGGACCCACACGATGTGCCATTAGTGATGCTGGAAGTGCTCCCAAGAAGCAGAGAAAAATCATCACATGACAAGAAGAGGGTGAATGGCTTGATATGTACCGCAGATTCAGATCTGCAGCTGCCGTTGGCTGCCACTTCAAGATAAATGAGTCCAGTGTAAGGACCATTGTTAAAAGAAAGAAAAGGAAATTCATGAAGCTGTCGCTGCAGCTACACCAGCAGGCGTGAAAACCTTGCGCTTTTTGCAAAACGCCTTTGTATCTCATACTGAAAATGCAGCTTTTATGTGGGTGCAGGATTGTTATAAAAAAGGCATACCTATAGATGAATATGAGTGAAAAGGCGAAGTCATTATATGACAACTTAAAGCAAAAGGAAGGTGAAGGATCTAAAGCTCGAGAATGTAATGCCAGCAAAGGATGGTTTGATGATTTTAGAAAGAGGTTTGGTTTTTAACATGTCAAGGTAACAGGAGAAGCAGCTTCTGCCAACCAAGAGGCAGCAAAGGAATTCCCAGCAAAGAAAATCATTGAGAAGAAAGGATATCTGCCGGAACGGGTTTTTAATGTAGTCAAAACTGCTCTATTCTGGGGTGCAAAAAATAAACCTCAAAGGACATTTATTAGTAAGGAAGAGAAGCCAGCACCAGGATTTAAGGCAGGAAGGGCTAGGCTAACTCTACCATTCTGGGCAAATGCAGTAGGGTTTACGATCACGACTGCCCTTCTCTATAAAGCTGCTAACCCCTGAGCCTTGGAGGGAAAAGATAAAAACCAGCTGCCAGGCTTTTGGTTGTACAAAAAGAAGGCCTGGACAGTGAGAACACTTTTTCTGGACTGATTCCATGGATGCTTTGTCCCTGAAGTCAGGAAGTACCTTGCTGGTAAGGGACTGTCTTTTAAAGTTCGTTTGATATTGGATAATGCCCCTGGCCATCCAGACCCCATGAGTTCAACACCAAAGGCGTCAAAGTGGTCTCCTTGCCCCCAAACACAACATCTCTAATTCAGCCTCTAGATGAGGGGGTCGGAAGGACCTTTAAGGCTCATTACACATGGTACTCTATGGAAAGGACTGTCAGATCCCTGACAGACAGAACATTAGGAAAGTCTGAAAGGGTTACACCACTGAAGATGCCATCCTTGTTCTAGAAAAATGTGTGAAAGCCATCAAGCCAAAAACAATAAATTCCTGCTACAGAAAACTGTGTCTATTTGTTGGGCATGACTTCCCAGGATTTACAACAGAGCCAATCAAGGAAATCACGAAAAGAGATTGTGGATATAGTTAACAACAACAACAACAAAAAAGGTGGGGCTTCAAGATATGGGTCTTGGAGACATTCAGGAGCTAGCAGACACCACACCAGAGGAGCGAACAGAAGGTGACTGCATGGAGATGAGCGCTTCCTAACCAGTGTCAGACGACGAGGAAGAAGACAAAGAAGCAGTGCCAGAAGCCAACGGACACGAGGCAATCTCAGAAGCGTTCGATTATTCAAGACTGCTTTTGACTTCTTTTACGACATGGACCCTCCTCCTATGATATGGGCACTGAGACTAAAGCAAGTGGTGGAAGAAGGACTGGTACCATATAGAAACGCTTTTAGAGAAATGAAAAAGCAAAAAAGTCAGACAGAAATTACTATGTATTTACATAAAGTCACACTGACTGTGCCTGCCTGCCTCTCCTGCCTCCCCTCCCCCACCCGAGACAGCAGGGAGATGCTGACATGTCCATGGAATCTGAGTAACATGGATGGCCACGGCAGGGTTTTGAGAAGGGTGGCCTAAGAAGGGTGGATCACGTTGGGTGCTATGTTGAGAACAGAGGGGGCAAGCAGAGAGGCTAACACGCCACAAGGATAGTACATAATCTAAGCAGG